CTCATCTTACACAGAACCTAACAAACTCCATCTTTATATGACTACAATTCCCAGTATCCCTCAATTCCTTGCAGAAGTTTACAAGTGCTTAGTGTTTAATTAGACTAGCCATTTTCTGTTGATGTTTCTGAGAATATCCCAGAAAACCCTTGTAAGGTCTTTACATTTGATACACTATATAGATACCAAAATGCAAAGTGTGGTGGAACTTTTATTAGGCCAAGCACAAAGGGGCCATAAAGTGTACAAAAGGATGAACAATGATGGAAACTTTCAAGAGAACACACTCTTCATTAGGCAGGTATAAAAATATATTCAGCCAAAGAGAATGGTTTCTTGGAAGGTTACTCAGCTGTTTGGGCTTTTGCAAATTGTTGTGCTTTTGTGGTTGACTGAATAAAAGGTATCACCTTAGTACGTGTTTTGGAATTTGTTTTGTGTCATCCCAGATATCTCTGCTTTAAACTGTATAAATGCATCCATATAAGTACAAACAGCAAACTACAGTAGTTGCAAATACTATTTTTCCTGGATCAGAACTCAGCTGGTAATGAAATTCATAGTCTGCTTTGCTCTTCACATTTGGCATTAAAAAAACAGCTCAAGTACCTGGATTGGTTTAAAACCACAGTTTGCTCCAAAGTTCTGCATGACAGCTGAACACTAATTTTCCCATGCAGTTTTCAATACAGAACTTCTCATTAAAGTTAATAGGCATATACATAATTTCCATGGCATTTTGTTGGGTAAAAATTATTCACTGCAATGTGGTAAATTTAATTACATCGTGAAGACAATGCAGTTATTAAGTAATTGCTTGAGAATATAGGGGGATTCTGGGAATCAGTTGAAAAAATTATCAAAATTAATAGTGCTGGCATATTAAAGAAGTAACATAAGGCCAACAATAATTCGTTTGCTGTACCTAAGTGGCCAGGGTGTGTAATTACAGGTAAGGTTCTCGATATGAAATAATAACAAGCAGGCATTCTTACCATGAAAATTATATATTGTGCTCTTTTTATACCAGCTTTCAAAGCAAGGTGGCAGCGGGGAAGAGTGCTTTTATTCTTCTAAGAATATATAAAGGGAATTTTTAAATTATTTTTCAGAACTCATTTTGCTAATAAGATGTGTACATGTTAGTTAAGCTGGCCTGTACTGCATATTACTTAGTCTTCATTCAGAAACAAAGAAATAAAAATAAATTAAAATCTGACTCATATGCCAAACATCTCACAGTGATGATGACAATGTGTTGTTATATGCCACCAAAGTGTGTCCAATTTATGGGTTTTCAAAGTGCATGAGCTATTTAAATAGTGGTTTTACTACTGACACTCCCAGTGAGTTTTCATGGCCAAGTAGGGATTTGAATGTAGGTCCCCTGATTGCTTTCCCCCATATCTGTCCTTGAACGTTTTAGTATTCAAAAAACTGAAATGGAAACAAAACAAAGACAAGACTTCAGTAGTTGGAAAGCAAAGTGCAGTTGTTTGTGACAATGTAGTATATTTGAAATAACCTGTTCAAAATACTCAGCCTCTTTCAACCAAGTTACAGTTATCACATATTTATCCTGTCCCTATCTAGAGATCTGTTCGTATTTTTACAAGCCAGCAACTCATCCAATTCTCCCCTCTCCCTAAACATACTTATATTCTCTTGCTTAATTTAATACCAAATTATGGTGGGTTTTTCTTGTTTGTTTGCTTGCCTTTTAACAAAAAGGTGGTTTGTGATAGTGTGCTCATATGTTCATATGACAGCAAACTGGCATCATTAAAATACATATTAAATATATCTGATCATGTTTACATTTTCTGCTGCAATAAGTAGGTCTTGACTACTTTCTTAAGTGTTTCAGAATGACAGAATTCCCTTTATTCTTCATGCTTCCACTAACCTTTCATAGTTGGCAAAATGTAGACTTTACTTCTTCCCTTGCACTGTTTGTGTAAAGTATTCATTTGCCAAAAGCCTGTTGCTTAGCTTAGTAAACTACACTAGAGTAGGCCCATTGAATCAATGGGGTTTTAGTGAGTCAACTCTTTCATCATTTCCATTTAATTCAAATAAAGGTACAGTAAAGGTAAAGGTTCCCCTTGACATTTTTAGTCCAGTTGTGTCCAACTCTAGGGGGTGGTGCTCATCCCGTTTTCAGTGCTTGTCCGAAGACAGTTTCTGTTGCCATGTGGCCAGCGTGACTAGGAAACGCCATTTTACCTTCCCACCGAGGTGGTACCTATTTATCTACTTGCATTTGTATGCTTTCGAACTGCTAGGTTGGCGAGGAGCTGGGACAAAGCGACAGGAGGTCACTCCATCGCGTGGATTCAATCTTACAACTGCTGGTCTTCTGACTCTGCAGCACAGGCTTCTGCGGTTTAGCCCACAGCGCCACCATGTCCCCACCACGTCCCCTAATTCAAATAGACCCATTCTAATTGCAATTTGTTATGCTAAAGTAGATCACAGTTGGAATACAGTGGTGCCTTGACTTACGAGCGTCCCTACTTGCGAAATTTTTGAGATATGAAAAGCTCCGGCCACAAAATATTGCTTCGACTTGAGGCCGGAGCTTCGAGTTACAAAAGAAAAAAAAACGTGGGGGAGGTGGGGTAAGCATGAAATTTGAACATTCTGTTAACCGTTGGCCAGCGAAGAAGCTGCTTGTCTGCTACCTCACTCGTCCTAGCGGTTAGAGAGTGGATAGGGAGAGAGTCTTCAGACTGCCTGGTACTGCCTGGTATTGCCCGGTACTGTACTGTACGGACTGTATTTTTTTGGGGGGGGGCTTTTTTGAATTTTGGACTTTTGATTTTTGACTTTCTTTTGAAACAGAAAGACTGTCTGTTCTGGGTGAGTACATACTGTATGCTGTATTTACTGTACTGTAATGTACAGGGCTTTTTGCAGCTTGGTAGGGGGTAGGACTAGGTGGGGGTTGTGTTTCTGTGCTCTGATGGGTCTTGCAGTGTGGATTTAAAATGTGAAAAGTAGACTGTAATATTAAATTAAAATTAAATGTGAAAATTAGACTGTACAGTAACTTTTAAATGTAAAATTTATTTATTTTTGCATTTGATGGCTTCTAGGGTTTGTATATTGTGACCTCTCTTGTTTTAAAATGTGTGGGTTTAAAATATGGCTTCAAAGTATTTTTTTCTTTGGGGATCTGTTTGCTGTAATAATGGTTGCTGGTTGTTGATGCAGGCAGGCTGTAAAATGCAGTGTAGACTCCACAGCCTTTGTTTTCTTAAAATCAGAAAATATTCTGTGAGGGGCTGTGCTGGCTCTTGATGCAGGCAGACTATAAAATGCAGTTTAGACTCTCTTTTTGTGATGAGGAGTTCTGTGCTGGAATAATGCTTGCTGGATTCTGTGGCTTTTAGGGTTTGTGTACTGTGACCTCTCTTTTGTTTTAAAATGTGTGTGTTTAAAATGTGGCTCCAAGATATGTCTCTTTTAAAAGCAGAATTTTTAAAAAATTATTTTATTAATTTTATTAGACAGATAGTTTACTCTGGGTGGCATAACAAAGTTTAAAAACAATAAAACCAATAACATACAAAAATCCAAGATGTAAAAATATAGATATTAAATACAGCAGGAGGGAAAGCCTGCCTAAATAGCCATTTTAGTTTACAGTGGTGCCCCGCATAGCGAGGTTAATCCGTTCCGGATTAACCATCACTATGGGGAAACATTACTATACGGAACAGAAAACACCAGAGAAACACATTAAACTTAGTTTAATGCGTTCCTGTGGCTCTAAAACTCACCATTGTGCGAAGTTTCCCCAACAGTTTCCACTCAACAGTGGCCAGAGGATTGGAAAAGATCAGTCTACATCCCAATCCCAAAGAAAGGCAGTGCCAAAGAATGCTCCAACTACCGTACAATTGCACTCATTTCACATGCTAGCAAGGTTATGCTCAAAATATTCCAAGGTAGGCTTCAGCAGTATGTGGTCCGAGAACTCCCAGAAGTACAAGCTGGATTCTGAAGAGGCAGAGGAACTAGAGACCAAATTGCTAACTTGCGCTGGATTATGGAGAAAGCCAGAGAGTTCCAGAAAAATATCTACTTCTGCTTCATTGACTATGCAAAAGCCTTTGACTGTGTGGACCACAGCAAACTATGGCAAGTTTTTAAAGAAATGGGAGTGCCTGACCACCTTATCTATCTCCTGAGAAACCTATATGTGGGACAGGAAGCAACAGTTAGAACTGGCTATGGAACCTTGTAATGAGGGTGAAATAGGAGAGTGCAAAAAACGGTCTGAAACTCAACATCAAAAAAACTAAGATCATGGCCACTGGTCCCATCACCTCCTGGGAAATAGAAGGGGAAGGCATGGAGGCAGTGACAGATTTTATTTTCCTGGGCTCCATGATCACTGCAGATGGAGACAGCAGCCACGAAATTAAAAGACGCCTGCTTCTGGGGAGGAAAGCGATGACAAATCTTGACAGCATCTTAAAAAGCAGAGACATCACCTTGCCAACAGAAGTCCGAATAGTCAAAGCTATGGTTTTTCCTGTTGTGATGTATGGAAGTGAGAGCTGGACCATAAAGAAAGCAGACTGCCGAAGAATGGATGCCTTTGAATTGTGGTGCTGGAGGAGGCTCTTGAGAATCCCCTGAACTGCAAGGAGAACAAACCTATCAATTCTAAGGGAAATCAACCCTGAGTGCTCACTGGAAGGACAGATCCTGAAGCTGAGGCTCCAGTACTTTGGCCATCTCATGAGAAGAGAAGACTCCTTGGAAAAGACCTTGATGTTAGGAAAGTGTGACGGCAAGAGGAGAAGGGGACGACAGAGAATGAGATGGCTGGACAGTGTCTGCGAAGCAACCAACATGAATTTGACACAACTCCGGGAGGCAGTGGAAGATAGGAGGGCCTGGCGTGCTCTGATCCATGGGGTCACGAAGAGTCGGACATGACTAAACGAAACGACGATGATTTCCTTCCTTTCGAATCAAGGGGGTAATGTCAGCGTATATGAATTTTTTGGGGGGTAAAAGGTAAAAACGTTCCCTGACCCCTGAGTTAAGGCCTTTACTCTGAAAAAGATCAGGTATGATCTCATTGTTAAATATTTCTAATGCTATGTGAAGACTAAGAAATCTATACGGCGCAGTCACAACATTTTGATTCCACTTCAACTGCCATGGCTCAGTGCTGTGGTTTGGAGAGGAAGTCAACATTCTCTGCTAAAGATCTGTAGTGCTGTCTTGTAATCTCCAGTAGAGATTTCTAAGTTTCAAAGAGATTTTCCCCTCTGTGTAATAAAGATCCAAACATTTCATAAGATGTAGACATAGCACTTAATGTGGAATCAAACTGCTTTACATAACTCTGCAGTGCAGAGGCATGCTTACAGTCAAATCACAGTGTAACACAATAACTTGTTTCCTCTTCTCCTTTCTTGCTAAATGTGAATGTGGGTCCTTTTAGGCCATGCACTTGTATCTCTGAGGTCCAAGGCAGAGGTCTTTCCCAGCACTCTACTTGATGTCAGTTTGGAGAGGTTGCCTGTGACATTCCCACCTGTTCCTTGGTTGTTTCAAAGGCACCAGTTGATTACATCCATGTTATTCAGTATTAAAGACAGAGGTCCTGTCAATATGTCATCTAAAAACCAAGTAGAAATTATTTATTGTTACAAGAAATGAAAGTTCAGTCATTGTTAACTCTCAACAAAACAACCTTTCTTTCTATTCTCTACTGCCTTCCCAAATTCTCTTTCAACTCCAAACTCCCAAACTCTCCAATCTCCTCACTCTCCAAACTCCAATCTTCTAATCCCCTATCTAACTCTCCCCTTCCCTCTGCAGAGACTCTTACATCTCATGACTCTGCCTCTCCAGCACTCCCATTGGTCCATACAGATAGTATATTAATATTCATGACCTGGGCGGACGCCACACTCCTCCTCCCTTAATAAGCTTGTGATAGGAGGGGAAACTTAATGGTTTGCCCTCATAAACAAATGAAAATACCTAGAAGAATGCAAATATTAACCTCTTACATTACTAAGGATACATTACTTACATTAATAAGGGTTACATTACATTACTCTTACATTACTAAGGATATATTACTTACATTAATAAGGATCACATTACATTACTCTTACATTACTAAGGATAAAGGTATACATTATCATTAAGTATCATCTTGATTCCAGGGAGGAAGCACAGCAGTTCAATGGGTGGTCTCTTCAAAGGGCTTATAGAATTAAGTTGTCGTGTACTAGCAGAACTGTACAGAATCAACTCCATTAAGAGAAAATATATTTACACAATGGAAGAAACTGCAAATAAAAATATACGCAGTAAGTTAACCACCGACATCACCGACATCAACCACCCGGCCTAGGGGGAGAGAGAGCTTTCAGGCCGGAGCTGCTCCTGGGACCGCACCGGACCATCGTGCTTACACCCAGAAGGAGCCAAAGACCACTGCCAGCCACAGCTCACTGTGTGAGAGGCAGTGAGAGTGTGGTTGGGGCCCTGTTGGGTCTCCCTCTGTGGCTGCAGGACTGGGCCCTGCTGCTCCTGGCTGCCTCACCCCCCTCTCAACATTAGCCACCTGGCCTAGTGGGGGAGAGAAGGGTCTTTATAAGTTGTTTTCTTTAAAACTTATTTTTAAATTGTGATTATTAATTGGCATCAATTAAGAGAGACCCACAATGGATTTGAGGGAACAGGAAGGGGGGAGGGTGTTGGAGGGGGCAGCCATTGAGGTGGTGCTGGGTAGGGGAAGGAATGGTGGTGGGGGTAGAACATGCCCACGTAGGAGAAGAAAGGTTAGATACCTTACATCTATCCCCTCTTCTAGTTCTACCCCCAACCAGATGGTATCAGGTGACTATATTAGCAAACCCTTGAGCCACACAGTGCTGTTGATGAACGCCAGGTCAGTACAAAATAAGACTGCCCTCATCCATGATGTAATTCTGGATAAGGGTGCTGACCTGGCATGCATTACTGAGACCTGGGTGGGAGAGGAGGGTGGTGTTCCCTTCTCCCAGTTGTGTCCGCCTGGGTACTCAGTCCAGCACCAGTGTCGCTCGGAGGGTCGTGGAGGGGGAGTTACTATAGTCTATACAATTCTATCTCTTTGACCAGGCTTCCCATCCCTTTGAGACGAGGTCTTGAGGGTCTATATTGTGTGTTGGACTTATGAGACAGATTGGGGATTCTGTTGCTGTACCGCCCACCCTGCTGCGTACCAACAGTCTCCCTGCCTGAGCTGACGGAGGTAGTCCCAGACCTGGTGTTGAGGACTCCCAGGCTGTTGGTGCTGGGGGACCTCAACATCCATGCTGAGGTTGCCTTGACTGGGGCGGCTCAGGACTTCATGGCCGCCGTGACAACCATGGGGCTGTCTCAATATGTCATTGGCCCGACACATGAGAAGGGCCATAACTTGGACCTGGTTTTCTCAACAGGACTGGAAGATGTTGGTTTTGATGTGAAGGGGCTGGTTCTGACCCCATTGTCATGGTCAGACCACTTCCTGGTCAAGTTTAGTCTATT